TGCCGGCCGCGGCCCCCTCTCTCTCTCTGTCCCCCTCCCTCTCTCTCTCCCTGTCTCTCTCCCTCCCTCTCTCCCTTCCTCTCTCTCTCACGTCCAGAACATTTGTCCCTGTATTTCCCAGGAAAGAGTCGACTGTTAGCTAGACGACTGAAGATGATGCTAAAGGTTAGCCACTGGAACATTTTTGCGGTACAGATAAATACTTTTACGACAGTGGTTCCTGTGGTCTAACGTTCGTCGAAAAACTGCGAAGTAGAGACGCAATAGTTATATTATATTATTTACGCATATATTAGCCCTGTAGGAGGCAGCGCAGGGCGTGAAATATGGCAAAAAACGTTCACAAATCTCGTTTACCCGTACGTTTTTCTTGCAAAACCCCGTTACGTGTGTTACAAAATGCCTTTTTATTATTAGTTTTTAAAACTATTTTTACCGTTTTTTTCAGCAAAAATATTTGATCATGAAAACAGCAAAAATATGACATTATTAAAAATTGCGATATACCGCGATAAACCAGCGACAGAGCGAAACATCCGCAGTACAAGAATACATTTAAAGTATTAAAATCCTGCGCTGCTCTGAGGTCGCGACAGCCGAACTGCGATACTGCGAGGAGAGTAAGAACCGGGGCCGTGTTTTGGCAGGAATCTGGCGAAACATATCACGATATACTGCGATACTAAAGCTAGGACAACGTATTTAAAGTTTATTATCGGCTTCCTAACTTTTTCCAGTAGCGGTTGATTCTCCAAATGAAGGAATGACGGTGGATCAGTGGAAGTGCTGCCTGTCTGACTCTGTCATTACGTTCATGTGTGTGTCGTCACGTAGGAGGAGGCAGTTCAGCCAAGTACCAAAAAAAAAAACGCCTCCCAAATTATCTGCCACCGACGCGTGTTCCTCGTGCGCTCCATTTGTCCGCGCTCCGCGGGGAGTCACTTTGTCGGCCCGGCTATTTTTGGACCTTGAATGGGAGACGGGAGTTGTTCTGGTGCTGCTCCAGATCGGAGACGGGAGGCAGAGCTGGTGGAGGAGTCTTTGTGTCGTCGCTCCTCGTCTGTTCAACCAGCACAGACCGTCTCCCGGGGGGGGGGGGGGGGGGGATGGGGGGGGGGTCCCAGACGCACGAGGGGGGGTTCCCAGACGCACGAGGTTGTCGCCTGTCGTACAGAAGCTTTTAAAGGATTTGTGAAGCATTAATCACCCAGGCTGACTTGGATTAACTTATCTTTGAAATCAGTGCTTTCTCAAAGGGGTGGCTCAAACCCTGGGGCCCAGAGTTCTGTAAAAAAAACATAATATGTTTGTAGGTCGGCAGCTACTGCTGCAAATCTCCGACGACGTTAGCATCACCCAGTTTACCGATGACACCTCGTTCTCTCTCACAGACAAAGGTTTAAATATGACTGATAAACATTTCGATCTGTGAACCAACCAATCCGACCAACAGACGAGCTAGTTAGCTGCTAACGTACTTAGTTCCAGTGCACCGCTAACATTAGAGAACAGGGCTCCCCAAAAGGGAACTCAGCACCACCTACAGGCCAAGGAAGAGGAGCGACACGATCAGTGTTGACAAACACAGAACTGCAGATTAAAGATAGAGACGAAGGAATCTTCAGAGCGACTTCGCTCTTTCTGTTACAGAAGAAATGTGTGGTTTTTAAAAAGAACTGGGTCGCGGCCGATCGAGGCAGCGTGACTGTGGCTTTTAAGGCACGATCGTTTCAAAACCACCACTTGAATTTTTCCCACTGATGAAGACGGTGATTGTTTCCAAATGGACAAATCCTCCAGGTTTTCTTTGTTTCCTCAGGAATCAGCCCTGGAGTTTCTGTCATTAAGGATCCTAATTACCACATCCAGGATAAGAGGGTGAGGGGCGGGGGTCAGGGAGGGGGACGCACATTGATGCTCCACGTTCTTGGTTTGAGCAGTTTTAAAAAATAGCTGACATGTTTGGAGGCACTGGAACATGTTTTTCCATTTTGGTCCAGTAATTAAATTAGAGGACGGGGGAAATGGGCAGGCAGCGACATGCTATCTGATGGAGGAGGAGCAGCAGCTGGAGGAGGGGGGGTCTGTCCAACCATACATTTCAATTAGACGGCGACGCCCACTGCCTGTGGCGGTGTTCTGTAGCAGAACCACCGAGAACCCTGTGACGAGGACTGGGAAAAGAAAAGAAGTGTGGGAATGAAGAAATAAGAGTGAGAGGAGGGGGGGGGCACGAGGGGGGGTAGTTCAAGAGCCAGACCTCCCTCAAGAAACAACAAACTGAAGTCATTTCTTTCTGGAGGATAGGAAGTCTGTACAGACGCCTGTGAAAATCAAGATGGCGCCCCCTGGTCACGAGATAAAATAAAGAATCAAACTGCAGTTTGAAAAGAAGAAAAAGAAAAACATGTGTCGACTTTGGGATTCAAACACTGAACACCAGCTCAGAGAAAGAAGACAGTGACACTACGTGGTTTTGCTGTCAGCTTTTCCCCCCCACAACCACCCCGCCCCTCCCTCCCTCCTCCTCAGAGACCACTTCCTCTTCCTCCTCCTCCTCCTCCTCTTCCTCTTCTCTCTCTGAGTCCTGCTGGATCGAACTGAGTCCCAACAACAACACCGTGCTGCTGCCAAGCCCCGAGACACAAGTCCATCCTCATCCAACATAAACTCAGACAGAGGCTCAGTGGAGCGGAGCTGCAGGGTGGGCCGGCCGCTGGACCCCGTCCTGCTGGACCCCGTCCTGCTGGACCCAGTCCTGCTGGACCCCGTCTGAGTCTGCGTCCAGTCTGGACCCGTGCGTCCACATCAGTCCAGACGGTGGAACCAACACAACGGAAAAAAAAAGGAGCTTCATGTCAAACCAGGACCAAAGTCACTGGACGACGGCGTCACGGAAGGTTCTAATGGAACAAGCAGCGTCCGTCGTCTGTGGTTGGTCTGTGGTTGGTCTGTGAGAATGTTAACAGTCTATGAAGCTAACAGTCGTCTCCCTGACTTCAGAGCGACTTTTCCAGACTTTTCCTCCTGCGGCAACATGTTACTACGGTAACAGAACCAGCTGTGGTTTCAAAATGTAACAAACAAAAAAAAAAAAAGATGCGAAAAAAATGTGGAGCCTGGAGTCGGGTTTTGACCTGGTCTCTGCTGTCATTGGACAGAGTCTGTTCTGCAGTGACATCACGGCCCGTCACAGGACGATGAGGTGGCGTTCGGCCCAGATGAAGCTGTAATGTTTGACCTAACTGCCTGTTTCAGTCCATTAACCCGTGGAAGAGTAACTCAACACAACAAGGCTCTGTAGGGGGCGTCACTCCCCCCCCCCCAAAAACAATCTTTATCACCTGGATTTACAGCAGCTCATTAGGCAGCCCAGCAGCCCTGGGTTTCTAACAGGAGGAGCAGGTCGACCGACCACTGACGTACAGCGGACCTTTAAACCACTGACCGCCGGCGTTTCCACTATCTGTCTGGAAGACTGAGGCTTTATTGGTCCCCTGGTGCAGCAACATGATCCTATAGTATTAGGAGGGGCCACATCTGAGGGGGGGGGGGGGGCGGACGACATGTGTGTGTGTGTGATTTACACACAGACCTGTTTATGGAGCTTCTAAAACAGACGGAGGAGCCGACATAAAAGGAGGCTTATTTATGGAGAGGAGCAGCAGCACTGGGTCGGCTGTGAGGATGCACACAATCCAATATGTGTTTCTGTGTCAAAGAGCAGAGTGTGTGTGTGTGTGTGTGTGTGTGTGCCAGGCTGCTCGTTCTGCAGGGTTACAGCAGGAAACCGTCTTCACACAGAAACGATTGTCGACGCTCGTTTGGCAACAACAGTTTTGTGAAAACAGACGTCCTCCTGACTGAGCTGCTGACGATAACTTATGTTGAGAAACGTCCACCACTGAAGGCTGTCTGTTGTTCACAGACGGACTGAGGTCAAACCAGTCAGCGCCAGGTCAACAGACATCAGGGGGCTAATCTACACTGCACCACCGTCAGGACAGGCGACGTACGGAGCGAGGACACGACCAGTTGTTAAAAGGAAGGAAATGGAGGGAAATGTTGAACAGTTGAGAAACTAAAGAGTCAAACGAAGGTAAAGGTAAAGACCTCATCACTGGAATAATAAATATTATAATATTTATAAAACCCAAAAATACTCAGCTGACGAGTCGTCACATGTTCAATAAAATGTTTTCTGTTGTAAAACACGAGGACCAGAGCAGAGACGACAGAGGAACGATCACACATCAGGAGTGGATTTTAAATAGTTTCAATAACACCCAGGGCATCAGAGTCAGGCCGGGCAGTCAGCCAGGGGGGGGGGGGGGGGGGGGGGGGGAGGAGGAGAAGGGAGTGAACCAGAGTTGAAGCAGAGACCATCAGTAACACCAGCAGCTGTCTCTCTTCTCTGTGTCAACCACCACAGAGGCCTGACGTCCCTCCACCCTCGTCTCCAACTTCCTCTGGCTGCAGAAGGAGCCGAGAATCACCTCCTTCTGCCAATAGGTGGCAGAGTTTCACGCTGTATCCAGGCAGGGTTGGAAGAGACAGAGATAGAGGAGGAGGAGGAGGAGGAGGAAAAGAGAGGAAGTTCTTACTTGCAGTCTCTGTCCTCCAGATCAAAATGTGGGTTGAAGTTGATGAGGATCTTTTGCCCCGGCTCTGGGGCAGTTATGACCCACACGCACTGCTGGGAGGGCGGGTACGCGCTGGGATACCCCGGGGAGGTCAGGTACTCCGCGACGTCGATCTCTATGTTTCCTCCGCATTTATCTGCAGCACAGAGACACACTTTGATTTGACTTCCACTCTCTGACAATTTTTACCCAACATTCTGTGCGGCAGGTTTGGAGGAGAGCGTGCGTAAAGACGCAAACCGGAAGTCCACACCTGTGGATTCCTCTTTAATGGATTTACTCCAGTCACCTCAGACTCAAACCCCCAACCTCCAACCTCCAGATTTACTGCGTGGAGACAAAAACAATCCAACCTCCAGCCCCGCCCCGGTTTATTCAGATTTACTGCGTGGAGACAAAAACAAAAGTAAATAAAAAGAGGAAACGTGTACTTTCTACGTCACCGTTACTTCCTCTACTTCACTGTACTGCGAACAGCAGATACTTGAACTGACGAGCAGCACAACCGAATATTTAAATACTGCAAGGCAGCGCAGACACAGCGGAATACTACAGTAGTACTGCGTAAAAGATCCGGCCGTTCCCTGTAATATTTGTCATGTTCTTTTACAACAGTTTTACAACAGAACCAAGAATTCATTCAGAGCTTTTTTCCAAGGAGAAACATTTTACATTAAAAAGACAAAATGGATTTGGTTTTTCACAGAAGTGACGCGAAAATCGGAGAAATAAAAAAACCACTAGTTTAACTAGTTATATTATATTTTTATCATTATTATTATCATTATTATTATTATTATTCTGCTCAGACGCCGCTGCTGTGGACGACGTCAGAGTCGGGACTTTCTCCACGTCTTCCTGGTGTTTATCCATCAACGACGACCGTTACGGCTGTTTGAAAGTGTTGTCAATACAATAAATCGACCACTAACGTGACGTCAGGCTGACATCGTGAACCGTCTACACATCCGTACAGTTACACGATCCCGGCGCAAAGACGCAGGAGTCGAACACCGGGATCTGATCGGTCCAACACCAGCACCTGTAGGAATTTCGTGGACTTTCAGACTGAGTCCGGGAGCAGGAGCAGGAGCAGGAGCAGGAGCAGGAGCAGGAGCAGGAGGAGGAGCAGGAGGAGGGTTTTTAATCTGAGCCTCACAATGGGGTGAAACAACAGGAAACGACATGAAGTCTGACTCTGAGTTCACACCAACATTCACACGAACATTCACGTGCACGTACGTGCTCAAACACACGGCTAAGAACAGGTGATTCTGCTGCTCCTCCTGCTGCTGCTGCTCCTCCTGCAGACAGAATGTTCTCACTTCATTCTCCTTCATCTAATGTGTCGCAGCCTGTCGAGTAACGGATATCTGTCCGTGTCCTGTGGCGAGACGCGCCGGTTGTCAGGCTGAAGCCGCGCGTAAAAATGAGCCACACAGTAGGGGAGGAACCGGGGGGGGGGTTCACGGCACATGAGGGGGAGACGCTGCTCAATACTGGGTGACTGCGTGATCATAACCCCGGGCTAAGGGATTCCTGGCCGGGGGGTGTCTCGTGTCACGGAGCAACAGACGGCCGCCTGTTGACCAGGCACAGACCGTCAGAGTGAGAGTCTTACCCGTCTGTGTCAGCGAGGAAACGAGGAGGACGGGACCGAGGAGGAACAAAAGAAATCCCGCAGGCATCCTGCCCCGACCCGCTCCGGCCACAGCAGAAAGGGAGGAGAAGAAGAGGAGGAGAGGAGGAGGAGGAGGAGGAGAGGGACGGTGAAGTCCGTCAGGTGGCAGGGCTGACGGACAGACGACGAGCGGTTTGTCTCAAAGTGAGCGGAGAGCTGTTGCTGGTAGATTTCCCAGCATCCCTGCGTCCACAGGAGCCGGCGGCTCACTGAACCATCTCCTGGAGGAGAAACCCAGAAATAATCCACAGAGAGGAGGTGAAAACAAGAGGAAGAGGAGAGAAAAAAAAAATCTCCAAATGGACCGAAGTGGCAGCTGCGCGTCCTCGACAAAAACCTGGCACCGCTGGGACCAGGACTGGGACCAGGACTAGGACCAGGACTGGGACCAGGACTGGGACTAGGTCTGGTACTTCCCGGAGTGAAACTGTAGAAAAAACGACAGCGGGAACAGCGGTAACAGCGGAGATCCTCAGCTCCTCCTGCTCCTCTTCTCACAGGCTCCAACACCAAATGTCAGGATCGCGAGTCAGACTCAGAGTAACAGTGGAATTTCCACTCCCTCCTCCTCCTCCTCCTCCTCAAATCCTGCTGCTCCAACACCGACAAACACTCCGAGAGTGTGTGTGTGTGTGAGAAAAGAGAGAGAGGGAGGGAGAGAGAGAGAGCTGAAGCTAAAAAGACACCCGTGCGCCCTCTGTATGTATGTATGCACACACACACACACACACACACACACACACACACACACACTCAGGGCCGTAGGTGAGTCCGGATGTGTGTGTGTGTGTGAAGAGCAGTGATCGTCACAGCTGTAGATCTGACGTCATCAATTCACCGACTTAACTTCAGAAAATCTCATTTAAAATAAAACAGTTTCAGGGGCTACACGGTGGCTCAGTGGTGTGTGCTTCTGCCTTACGGTGGACTCAGGAACTGTCCCGGTGTAACCCCGCCCCCGTGACTGCTGTGATTGGTTCCTGTTCCTCTCTCAACATCCAGTTGCAAAACATTCAACTCAAGACCAAAACTGATTCTGTCAGAAAACATTGAAACTCTGAAATATCGCGATATTCCAGTCCCTGATCCCAGATCAATGTCCTCAGTCATTGATCAGTGATTGACTTTTTTTCACAGTCCAGATTTTTTCCTGGTGTTGGTTGATGTTCTTTTTCTTTTCTTTCTTCTCTGGTGATTCCCAGTGCGACACAGGCTGCCACTAAAATATGTGGCT